TTTTATTTATATTTTATTTATGATTTATTTTATTAGAAATTTCTTTTTATTGTTGTCGAGGTTATAACAAATATTTTAATTATTTATAGTCTTTTGTTACATAATAATAATAGAATAAAAGTTACATAGTTATACATATAATAATCGCGTAAATATTTTCTTATAAATACAGATTTATTATAAATATCTATTTTGCACAAAAGTATAAATCTAATTATTAATTGTATATAAGTTTTTTTTAGATTTTTTTAGATTATCTGCTTTGCTAGTGGTTCAATATCACTGGGAGAGAGGATCAGCACAATTTTTAAAGAAACGACAAAGACATTCTCTTCTTTTATAATAACATATGCTGTTGATTCTCTAATACGATATGCTAGTGCGATGGATAGTATTTGATCTCCTGTTGCTAGATATCTGAAATTACAATATATGATTTTAAATACAAAGTAAAATATTGCATATTTTATTATGTCAATAAATAACAGTTTAATATATGCTTAAAGTATAATTTAGAAAAATGTAATTTTTTAATAACTAGTGGTAACATTAATATATAATATAATAATGAATATGACAAATGATAAATATATACTTATATATATATACTTATATATATACTTAAATATATACTTATACAGCGTGTGTCAAAAGTTCCGGGACGGCTGGATAATTTGAAAAATACGCATCACAGAGGAAAATGACCTAGACAAAAGTTGTAGGATTTTTCCCGGGCAATCCGACGGTGACCTTAAATTTGACCTTGGATAGTCATTTGAAGGTCACATAAAGATTACCTTCAATTTCTTAAATGGAACCCCCTATTTTTCATTGCATATTCTTGTAGCTTATCTCGAGAGCTTTCCAAAACACTATAATTAAGTACCTTTTTATTAAGTACTTTTTGAGTTATAAGGCTTGAAATAATTTCTTAATTTTACATAAACCATAAAATATCTAGTAAACCATTCATTTTTCGATTATCTTACCTTCATACTTTTATGTACAAAATAATGAGAGGAATCAATTGGTGTAAAGAAAACACATAGTTGTTTCTAAGAAAAAATATGTAATTTGCAATTAACAATTCCATATTTTTTCTTAAAAACAACTGTATGTTTTCTTTACACCAATTGATTCCTCTCATTATTTTGTACATAAAAGTATGAAGGTAAGATAATCGAAAAATGAATGGTTTACTAAATATTTTATGGTTTATGTAAAATTAAGAAATTATTTCAAGCCTTATAACTCAAAAAGTACTTAATAAAAAGGTACTTAATTATAGTGTTTTGGAAAGCTCTCGAGATAAGCTACAAGAATATGCAATGAAAAATAGGGAGTTCCATTTAAGAAATTGAAGGTAATCTTTATGTGACCTTCAAATGACTATCCAAGGTCAAATCTAAGATCACCGTCGGATTGCCCGGGAAAAATCCTACAACTTTTGTCTAGGTCATTTTCCTCTGTGATGCGTATTTTTCAAATTATCCAGCCGTCCCGGAACTTTTTCCCATCACTGTATAATTATATACAATTATATGTATTATATCTACATATAGATAATTTTTATGTAATTATCTTTTTTAATTATACGAGGTTTGTAAATAAAGTAATAAGACTTTTTCGAGATGAACTTTTATTTATAATTTAATTATAATTTAACTATATCTCTTTCAAAATAGTTCCCTTGGGAAGCCACGCAGCGCCTGAGACGTTGTTTCCAGTCTTCATAGCAATGCTGGAACTCAAAAACTCAAATGACCTTCAGTTGGTCGGTTATAGTCGCTTTTACGTTTTCGATCGTATCAAAGTGATGTTCTTTGAGATGAGTTTTCAATGTCAGAAAGAGAAAGAAGTTACAGGGATTCAGGTCAGGCGAATACAGAGGCTGGGGAACGACAGAAATGTTTTTTCGTGCCAAAAACTCCGTAATCGGAAGCACATAAAAACATTTCTGTCGTTCCCCAGCTCCCGTATTCGCCTGATCTGAATCCCTATGACTTCTTTCTCTTCCTGAGATTGAAAACTCATCTCAAAGGACATCACTTTGATACGACCGAAAATGTAAAAACAGCTGTAACTGATCAGGCCATTCGGGTTTTTGAGTTCCAGCACTGCTATAAAGATTGGAAATAATGTCTCAGGCGCTGCGTGACTTCCCAAGAGAATTATTTTGAAAAAGACAGAGTTAAATTATAGTTAAATTATAAATAAAAGTTCATTTCGAAAAAGTCTCATTACTTTATTTACAGACCTCATATGATTACATGTAAATTTATATATTTGTTTATGTAACTATAATTATGATTATGCAGAAATTTATATTTGCTGCGTAATTACAATTATATATTACAATTACATATTTTTATCTATCTTTCTTTCTCTTTCTTGTGATATTGTTTAATTAAAAAGATTGTAGAATACTTGGAAGATTGCAAAAATATTTGAAAAAATGTAAACTACATTGGAGTCGCATGGTAAATATGTAATTATTATTATATATTCTGTATTACACGTTAGATAATAATTAAAATTGTACATATGTATAGGATAAAGAAACATGAGAGCAAAAGAAGAATAATAGTATGATTGCGCTACATATATTGGCTGCATGGTTGCGCCGCACTCATAATGTGCATACTGGCAGAAATATTGCGCCTTACTTCCTGTGAAGAGGAACCAACTAAATGTCATCGCTAGATTTAATAACAAATATTTAAGATTATAGTCACGATCAAGAATAAAATATAAAAAAAAAATTTTAAGAAGACAGACAATTATGTGACAAGTAACATGAAGAACGAAAAGGAAAAAAAAATATTAGACGAAAAAGTAATACAGCAAAAAAATAATTGCGCTTGATGCGAAAAACAGTAATATATTCAACAAATCAACATCAAGTGACAAGACGACGATTGAGTAATTGTTCTGCTGAATGTAACCATTATGAGTTTTAAAACATAACACATATTTAAGGTTCTTATACACAGAATGTGTAATACATTAATGCGTTGTATTTTCGATGCATACAGTTTTTAAAAGAATGAAATAAAAAAAAATGTTTTCTAAAAAAAAAATACTCCCGACTGCTGCCAACAATAATTACAAAATAAAAAAGTAATTAATAAATTAAATAATAAAAAATATAAAACAAAAGAAAAAGAAAAAAGTTTAATAAAAAACAACAAATAAAAATCTAAAATAAAAAAATTAATTAAATAAATTAAAATAAAATAAAAAAACAAAAAGTAAGTAAAATAAAACAGAAATATTAAGTAATGAAAAAATATTTTACAAATATTTAATATTTAATAATAAAAATATAAGCTTAGAAAAGTTTCAAATAATCTATTTGTAAATATTAATACAAGTCGGGAGACGTCGCTCTAAATTTAAAAACATACGCGCACACATTCATGTATACACGCCGAACACACCTAGTGTTTCCCGACTGTTCTTGTAAAATATAAAATTAATAATAATTACAATGTAACAAAATAATTTGTTAGTATTATTTAATTCTAAAATCTTAAGCCTTTGTAAATACGTATTACGTTAAATATGTGAAAAGAGTCAATTCAAATAAGAATAAATTGAAATAATAATTATTATTTCTCATATATATGTATAATATGTAAATGTAATATTTAATAATAGCTTGAAGTTAATCGTATTAATATTTATAAATAGATATTATTCCAGAGATTATTTCAAACTTTTCTAAGCTTATATTTTTATTATTAAATATTAAATATTTGTGAAATATTATTTTATTCCGTAATATTTTTGTTTTATTTTATTTACTTTTTGTTTTCTATTTTTTAAATTTATTTAATTAAGTTTTTTTATTTTAGATTTTTATTTGTTTTTTATTAATTACTTTTTTATTTTGTAATTAGTGTTGGCAATAATCGGGAGTATTTTTTTTTAAACTTTTTTTTATTATATGAACTATAAAATATTCCATGAAGTATTTATTTTTCGATGCCATTACTTTAATATTTTTGTGCACAAAATAATGGGAGGAATTAATTGGTGTAAAAAAACACAATTTTCAAGAAAGAAATATGTATGTTTTAATTGTAAATGACATATTTTTTTCTTGAAAACAACTATCCTTTTTTATATTATTACAATTTATTTTTTACAATTGATTCCCTCATTATTTTGTACATAAAAATATTCAGGTAGGATTATCGGAAAATGAATATTTTGTGGAATATGTTTTATAGTTTGATTCTGAGGAGAAATTCATTCAAACTTTCTCATAACTTTATATATACCCCATAAGAAAAATGCTTAATGGAAATATTTTATTATAATACCTTTTAGAAAGCTCTCGAAATAAGCTGCAAGAATCAATAAAAAAGAAGCGATAAAAGACGGTTGTGTTTAAAGTTTTTAAAGTGATCTTAATATGATCTTAACGGCACCAGTTAAGGTCTAGTTAATATTTTTTTTCTTTCCCCTCAGAATCAAACAATTCTTGTCTAAAAAGTTTTCTTTTAAAACTTATGAGTTTTGAAATATTTGAGTGGATAAATTAAAATGAGCCATTCTGTATATACATATCGTGCACATTTTCCACATTCACTTTAACATAGATACTTCTTATAGACGTTAATATCGGATATATTCCTTCTAAAACAATCTATGCAAATTGCAAGGTTTATTAAATGAGGAAGTAATTACGCGTGCGGAACAATAGCGCGAATGCTAGAACTATAAAATATAGATTTAATGAAAGAGCTGAATTAGCTATTTAAAATCTTACAATGCATTTTCCTACTTCTGCTGTATCCTACTTCCTCTATTATATCCTACTTCCTCTGTTATTTGTAGAATAACTTATATTAATAACTTTCATTTTAATCATGTGGTTTGCAAGGAATAAAGCATCGATTTATGTCGTTCAATGTCGCAGCAATATAGTTGTATTTCGCACTAAATAGAAAAGATATTAACATATATCCGCAAATATAATACAAGGAGTGATTCTCAGTAATTTGAGATAATGGTGCTAATCCGTATAAGAATTCATCAGATATTTCGCATACTCGAAATTTGTGGAACGTTCATAAGTATATGGCCGCCAGAATCCACAGCCGGAAAGCAAGAAATCTTCCTTCGAGATCTCGGTTGGACTTTGGCAATTTTGAATGTGTTAGGCTCGTTTCCACCGCTGATTCTTGGTGTATGGTATTCCAAAAACGATATTATTCGAACGATGAAGGCACTGTCTGAATTGGTAGCATTGATAGAAGTATTGTTCAATTTAATCCTATGTAGGATAGGAAGATCACGATTACAGGTTTGATTATTCTAAATATTAAGATTCTAATACATAATATTAAAATCACATGTTACGCAAATAGATTTGCTACATAAGGATAAGTTACTGTTTTCTTTGTGAAGAATATAATATAATATACATATTATGGCAGAGCATGTAAAGTAAACATAACACTAAGAAAAAGTATAAAATGATATTATTTATAATTTGAAGGCTTGTCATGGCCATATTTAGGATCCATCTGTCACTGTTATTGACATAGTGACGATATTAATATTTACTAGAGAGATCATGAGGGACGTGGTCACTCTATGGCGTTGTGCTTGTCGGTGCCGTTTCTTACGGAAAGCCAGTCGGAAGCCACCATAAAGTGCACACGAATATCTTCACCGGCACTTATTTGATCAGCGAGCGATCTTTCAAGGATCCTCCATGGCAATCGATATCGCATTCATCGAGCGAGTTATCAATATCGCTCTGAAGTCGCATACTGTGTAAAAAGGATATAATTTGACCACGTTCGAAATGACCATGATAAATTTGACTATGTTCGAAATGGCCACGTTCGTAATGGCCACTCGTTCGTAATGGCCACTCGTTCGTAATAGCCACTCGTTCGTAATGTCCACGTTCGAAACGGCCACGTTCGTAATAGTCAGTCATTCGTAATAGCCACGTTCGGAACGGCTACGTTCGAAATGGCCACGTTCGGAATGGCCACGTTCGAAACGGTCACGTTCGAAACGGTCACGGGAAATATTGAATAAAGTTCGATTTGACCACGTTCGTAACGGCCACGTTCGTAATGGCCACACGTTCGTAATGGCCACGTTCGAAACGGTCACGCTCGGAATTAAACATTGACAGTCTACACAATCAAGAAGTACACTTAATCGAGACTTCTTCGCTGTGGTCTCACACACACACACACACACACACACACACACGCGCGCGCGCGCGCGCGAAGGGGTGCGAAGGGGGATCTTCGGCCTCCTCCTCTCGCACTCATCCCGCAGGTAGGGGTGCCCTGGGCAGAAGTGCGCCAGGGCACCCCTACCGGCGGGGTAGGTGCGGAAGGAGGGGGCGAAGGACCTCCCTTACATCCCTCCGTTTCGAAAGTGACCATTTCGAACGTGGCTATTACGAATGAATGGCCATTACGAACGTGGCCATTTCGGACGCTCCCGTTAAAAAGCAGTATTAGGTGTGAGGTCTGGATCTCAATGGTTTAGAAGTTGTCCGGAAAGCAAAAGACTGGGGTTCAAGTCCCGATTCAGCCACTTGCACCTCACATATTTTTCTAGTCCACGAATATTGTTTTCTAGCAATTTTTCATTGGGCTGAAAAGTGTGTGATTGCTCTCTTCATAGCATATGCGTCAATGCCGTTGCCATGGATGAATTCTGTCGCTCGTTGACCAAATGGGCGTATAGACACGTCTGACCTCCTCCTACATACATCCCTATCTTTTTATAAAATAATATTACATTTCTTTATAAATATTTATTAAATACAAAATCTTATTATTTTTCTTTAATAAATTTTATTATTTCTAATAATGTAATAAGTATTATAATTGAATATAAAATAATTATTTTAGTTATTATAATTAAAATGTTTCTTAATATTTCATGTGCATAGAAGCTTCTAGCAGAACTGAGGAACTTTCTCGAACATTCTGAGTTGTATGAGAGATATATTATACAGAAATATATAAATCGTTACTCGGACTTTTATGTCTTTGTTGGAATATCCAATATGCTAGCAGCGATCGCTTTTTCTTGTGGCCCTTTGTTCTTGTCAATAAATCTTCCAATGGAAGCATGGTATCCATTTTCTACTGAAATTCCCTACATTAGAGGTATTCTTTACATTCTGCAAGTATTCGCCATCTTTCAAGCTGGATCCTGTATCATAGTAGATTTCATGATTGCAATGTTCTTCTGGTATTCCGCTGCGAGATTGGAAATGTTGGGACAAGAATTGCAACAAATAACGCATGAAAATCATGTAAAAACGTGTATTCAAAAACATCAAGAAATAATAAAGTAAGAAATTAATTTTTTTCGAATATAAATATTGTTAAACTCTATTATGTCACATTGTTCTGTAATCTATTAAGCATTGAAATTATATAAAAAAATATTTTTTTAAAATTATCTATTGTCTCATAATAGAGCATATTATACATTATTTTTATGAAATGCAAATTACATATTTGTGGAATAAGTCATCTAGATTAAAACACATTATTTGAAATTATATATTTTAATATTTTAAATATGCAACAAATTTATTCTCAAGCTTTAAATAATAATGCAGCATAAGAGAAATTCGTATAATTATTGTCATCATTAATAAGAGTATTAGTTTTATAGATGAAGTTCAATATATAGTTCGATACTTAATCTGCAAATCAAATATTACAATGGGCTCTTGCGTAATTTGCGCAGCTTTTACATTGATTCATGTGAGTAATTATAATATTTTCTATTTATTATATTTTTCGCTCGAATAAGTTAACTATTCATTTGTAAACAAAGTTTAATTAGAAAAAAATTATAATGTTTTTTTTCATTGTTATATTATTTGTAATAAAGTTAGTAACTAAAATAATTTTAATCATATTAGCTTTTTTTCTCTTTCTGTCTATCTCTTTCTATACAGGGTGTTCTAAAAAGGTATGTAAAAAATATAAGGAGATATTCCTCACACCTGAAGAATGAAAACATGTTATATGAACATGGTCACCATTGGTCACCATTTTCCTGAATACAAGCAGTGACACGTCAATGCATCGATTTACGGACACGTTAAAAAATGCAACCTGTGCGTGATATTCAAGATCTTCGTGACCGTATCATTGCAGGTTGCGAGACAATCCGCTATACGCCAGGCATTTTTGAACGTGTCCGGAAATCGACGTGTCACTGCTTATATTCAGGAAAATGGTGAACATTTTCAACATTTATTGTAACATACTCAAGGTCATATTAAAACCAAATGTAAATAAGCTTAATTAAACGATTGTCATCTACAATAATTAATTTTAAATTTTTCCTTGTGTAAATAATACAGCTAATAGTTTTCAACATAACTGAAATAAGCATTTCCGCACCTATGTCCATATGACATTTTTTCATCCTTCAGGTGTGAGAAATATCTGTTTAAATTTTTGACATGCCATTTTAGAACACCCTGTATATACAGAGTGGATGAAAACTTTTCGTAGATCCAAAGTGTGAAGGTAAATTGACTCAAATTAAGAAGGAAGGTCCTCTACTGTTTTGCGATCTTTGCAATAATTAACAAAAAATTAATTAAAGAAGATCGGCCAATGCACGTAGCTAGAACCACGGGGCGGCGAAGGCGATTTCACTGTAACATAATGGCGGCACGCAGCGAAGCGGGGAGAGAAGGAGCGATGAGTATGCAGACGCGCGGCGAAGTAGAGGACTTTCCTTTTTAATTTAAGTCAATCTACCTTCACACTTCGGATGTGCGAAAAATTTTTAACCACCCTGTACATGGTATTAAAAAAGTCTGAATACGGTCGAATATCTCGATAAGGAAAAGTTTTACTAGAAAGTATTTCAGAAGAAAGTTGTATGGCTTCGAGGGTGGCATAAGATAGTGCCATTAATTTAACCTTGAAGAGTCACCTGAAAGTCACGTGAAGGTCACCCCCAACTTTTTAAATGGGACACCCTATATGCTTTTACATATTTTTGTAGCTTGGCTCAAGAGCTTTTCAAAACACTATAATAAAGTATTTTTTTATTGAGTACTTTTTGAGTTATAAGGCTTGAAATAATTTTTTAATTTTAAACCGTAAAATATCTTGTAAAATATTCATTTTTCGATTATCTTACCTTAATACATTTATGCACAAAATAATTTGAGAAATCGATTAGTATAAAAAAAAACATAATTAACCATAGTTATTAAACATAGTTATTTAAAAAAAAATGTCATTATTAATTTGCAATTAATAATGACATAATTGCAAATTACATATTTTTTCTCCGAAACAATTATGTATTTTCTTTGCACCAATCGATTCCATTCATTATTTTATGCATAAATGTATTAAGGTAAGATAAACGAAAGGTGAATATTTTACAAAATATTTTACGATTTATGTAAACATAAAAAGTTATTTCAAACCTTATAACTCGAAAAATACTCAATGAGAAAATACTTTATTATAGTGTTTTGGAAAGCTCTTGAGGTAAACTACAAGAATATGCAAAAGTATATAAGGTGTCCCATTTAAGAAGTTGTAGATGACCTTCATGTAACCTTCAGGTGACTTTTCAAGATCAAATTAATGGCACTGTCTTATGTTACCCTCGAAGCCATACAATTTTTCTGAAACATTTTCTAGTAAAACTCTTCCTTATCAAGATATTCGACCGTATATATATCATTATATATATATATATTGCGACGCTTCTTCCAATTCTAAATTTTGATTCTCGCGGGGGAGCGGAAGCGCCGTCAAAAACACAAGGGTTTTATGTACTCGCGATCGGCGGGGCAGGGATGGAGGTTGTCCGCGCGCGAGCCGCGGCGGAGCGAAGGCCGTCTCGTTACCTCAGAACTGGGCGCCAGGTACGGTCTCTCACGTACCAGTTTCACGAATTCTTCGAAAAACGCGAAAGAATACGACAGCCCGCTTCGCCACGGGCTGGCTAGCTCGCCTAACGGTAGAGGGGCGGGGTTTGCAAGAAAAAGTGAATTGATTGAGCGAGCTTACTAAATTAACTGACAAAGACGAACACAGAAATTACGGACGGTCGCCAGTCAAATAAAGAACGCGTGATTTAATAAATAAGAAAATAACAGGTTTATTAAGAACGTAAATAATCAGAAAAGTGATTAACAAAAAGAAGCAAAAATCGCTACCGAATGCCAACAGAAATCACGTACTAGACGTGAACGGACAATGATTCTCGAAACGCTCGAAAAACGCGCGATATTCTAATTCGGTCTAACAAAGAACGTCTGTTACGGCGGCTTCCTAAAATCGAAGCTCCTGAGAACAATACTTGATATAACTGAATTTGATAATTCGAATTCTCAATAACTGGCTTACCATACGAGAGAGAGAGATAATACCAGCCTATAATTCGCAGCTTCGACAGCCTCGCGGAGATCCTACTAATTAGCTGCGTATTTCGCAATTTCCTCCGAGCGTGCTCGGAGTCGACAACCCAGAAATAAGGTAGCCGGTCAGCTACGCAATAAGCGACAAGATATGAATTCCGCGAGGAGAGATCCCGCATACGATGGGCGGACGATACCGGCGAAGTTCGATAGCCGGCGGCGGTCGGAGATTTTTCCGCCTTTTTTGGCGACGCTCGCAACTCAAATATTTCTGGCAATCGGGGCGATGCGGCAATGTCGTGTCACACCCCCGATATCTTCGACAGCGTGAGAATTAATTGTTTTCTCTTATCAAGGAAATAAGGAAGGCCGGGCGACAGTCCCGCACCGCGCCTCCTTCGATAGCCGTGCTATTCGCCAGGAATTTCCTGACCTCAGGCCTCAATACTTAGAATCGTGCGATACCCGCACACCGCGACAATTTCGAGGAATTACGTTCCTTCTTGCGAGACGAATAACTCACACGCACACAATAGACGCGACAATAATACTCAAGTTCGCGCCAGATTCACGAACGATTAAAATACACGAAGACTCATTAATCACGAATAATTACTTCCACAGACTCGCTCTGAGACATATTTCAGAGGTGCGAGACGCGGCTTCGACAACCAGACGACAGCCCGTACGAACTACGCATTTCTCGCGATTTACGACGCACGCGGTCGATACCCGCTGGTCGGATGCTACGCGTATTACGCACCCTGATACCCGGAGAGAGACGAGAATTACCCTACGATACGCACTTCCGTCGCCAGTGTCCGCGCTTCCTCGGTCGCTTGTCTCCAGTCGCCCGAAATACACAAAATCGACCGACTCGGCAGAAGGCTCGAGCGGTCGCGATAAGCCGTAATGGCGACGGCGACAGAACGGCCGGCGAGCGGACAAGATCACGCTCGCGGAGTACCAAAATTACGTGGGCAACCTCACCGACGGAGCTCCTCCTGTTGTGGGGATGATCCTCGGCCTCGTCCTCCAAGTTTCGTCTCGTTCTCGAGCTCACACGACAATACAGTACACAATATGCGTCTTCGCCTATACGAGTCGAGCGGCTGCGACCAAGTGAGCCCTGGATCTCGCGATCCAGGGTCGATAGCGGGGTCGTTGGCCGCGCAGGGGGATGCGCGGACCCCCGGCCAATTAGCGGCCGACACGCGCGAGGTCCTGGCGCCTCGCGCGCCACGCGAGGCATTTTCGCGCCCCGCGCGCAATAGCGCCAAACTTGAACGTCGCTGCGGGTCCTTATATGGCCCGGGTGAGGTCCTTCCCGCACGCATCCTCTCCAGGAGGATGGCTGTCGCAGCGGCTGTCGTTCCCGGCTGTCGAGGGGAGGCTATGCGGCTCTCCCCGGTCCGGAACTATGATGCCGGGCTTTCCGGGACAGGATCCTCCGCTCTTATGAGTTTCCCTTGGCTGTCGTTCTTAGCGGTCGCGGGGAGGCGATGATGTTCTCCCCTGTTCTTCGGTGCTCGATGGTGAGGCGCCTCAAGCCGACTCGATACAAAATAAAGGATGGAAGAAAACAAAAAGAATTAATACTACACGCAATTATACTCATTCGCTCGTCTCTCCGGGGAATTCGGTAGCTCTCTCTCTCTCTCAACCTTTGGCGCGGCCACTTGGCTCGCGCCCCGTCAAGATTGCCGGGGCGGATAGACGCGACGGGACGGCCACGTCACATCCCCCCATGCCAAGAGAGAGCCCATCGGCTTCGGCTACCCACGGCGGCCGCTAAGGCGGACCGCACCGTCCGCTCGCCTTCGTTCGGGCGGCCGAAGTCCCCGGAGTCGAGGAGGTGCGACAAATAACAAACAAAACAATCAAACAACACGAAAAATTAATGTTAGCTGAGGAAGTGGTTCCACTAATAGAGAGCCGTTTAA